AAAAAAAAAGATAGTAGGAAGGGAAAAATGAAGAGGGGGAAATTGGAGGGGGAGATGAACCATGAAAGACTGTGGACTCTGAGAAACAAACTGAGGGTTTTACCGGGGGGGGGGAGGGATGGGTTAACCCGGCGATGGGTATTATTGGGGGCACGTATTGCATGGAGTACTGGGTGTTATACACAAACAATGAATCATGGAACACTACATCACACAAAACTAATTAATGTATGGTGACTAACATAATAAAATAAAATAAAATAAAAATTTTAAAAAACGGTGGCTTTCTAATTCTGTTATCCCTTCCATGTGGTGTTCTATTGTAAAAGACAGTTTCCCATCCCCTCCACTTTTAAACATCCATCCATTCATTTATGTGTTTATATCTTCTTTTTGTTTAGGGGTGCCTGGGTGGCTCAGTCAGTTAGGCGTCTGCCCTCGGCTTGAGTCGTGATCCCAGGGTCCTGGGATCGAGCCCCACATCAGGCTCCCTGCTTGGCGGGAAGCCTGCCTCTCCCTCTCTCACTCCCCCCCGCTTGTATTCCCTCTCTCGCTGTGTCTCTTTCTGTTAAATAAATAAATAAATTCTTTTAAAAAAATTAAAAAATAAACATTTTCTTTTTGTTTAATGTTATAATCCTTTGCTGTCATTATTCATTTTGATGCTCAAATTTTAATTGATTTGGCCAGTGAAAGTTCATTCAGGCTGGATTCTATGTCCTTTTACTCTGTTTTTATCAGTTTTTGAGCACTCCTTTTTAGTTCCAGTCAACATCATAGGGGTTTTTTCTTTATGCCTATCCCACTTATATTTCACTGTAAAAAATAATTTCCCTGCAAAATGTTTATCTTTAGAATATATCCCACTGACGTTATATAACAAAATGCTTTATTCAGAAGTTACTTGGAGTTGTTCTTCTTACCTATATGCACAGGTTGGTTTACAATCGCTTTGCTATAAAGTTAGGCCTATTTGGCTTTTTGTACTTTATTTTTGTGAGTTTTCCCCCATCCTACTTGATTTAATTTTATTTTTTAAATGTGTAAAATAGTAACGTGACTCCAGAAATAAAATTATACAAAATAATATGCTCACAAGTATGAGGCCCTTCCCTTTCCCTTCTCTGCTTCTCACTTACTCCACTGAGTACCCTGGGGTTTCCTTCTTGTGTTCCTTTTTTAAAAATAGATAGATGGATATAGATGTAGTCTTATTTTCTTTTTATTTGAAAATGGTAGCACACTGGGGCTGCCTGGGTGGCTCAGGCAGTTAAGTGTCTGCCTTCAGCTCAGTTCATGATCCCAGGGTCCTCGGATCGAGCCCCACATTGGGCTCCCTGCTCAGCAGGAGTCTGCTGCTCTCTCTCCCTCTGTGCTCTCTCTCTCATGCTCTCATTGTAAAGCAAATAAATAAAATCTAAAAAAATAAATGGTAGCACACCAAATATACTATTTTGTACTTTTTTAATGTAACTACATGCATAGAAATCTCCCCATTATCTACTTAAAGAGATCATCTTCATTCTTTTTTATAACTGCTTAGTACTCCACTGTGAAGATATATCATAGTTTATTCAGTCAGTCTTGTGTATGAGCATTTACGGTGTTTACAGTATTTTGCAAAATTTTTTTGCAATGAATAACCTTGTGTTTATGTTTGGGGTTTTTTGTTTATTTATTCATGTATTTAGAAATATATCTTCAAAGTAAATTCCTAGAAGTGGGATTGCGGGGTCAAACAAATAGAGACTGAAGAGCCATATGCTTCATACATCTGGGGTTACTGATTCAGAAGGTGAATGAATATGTATCTTTGCTAGATGTTGAGAAAGTCCCTTCTCTAGAGGTTATACCATTTTGTGTCCCCACCAACAATGTTTGAGAGTGTTTGTTTTCTCATAGCCTCCCCAACAGAGTACATGGTTAAATTTTGGACCTCTAATAAAATGGGAGAAATGCTATTTTACTTAACGTTTTAATTTGCATTTATGTAATTATGAACAAGGTTGAGCGTTTCATTTAAATGGAGATTTTTTTTTAATCCTCTACTAAAAATGTTTGCATTGGTCCTAGGTAATTTTTTTTTAGACCAATATCATACTTGGGAAATTTCTTAATGCTCATATCATATCCTATAATTGTTTCATAGTTTACTATTTGACATGGTCCTGTTTAATTGTAATTTGGCTATCAAGACAGAATTTTTCTCTGCCATGGTGGTGACAAAAGCTTAAAGTGGCCTTAAAAATACATGTAATTATATGTCATGAAAAACTCATATTACAGTAAAACTTTAGGTTAAGAAAATATAAAAACCTAGGTTTTCATCATGTGTTTATTTTTTTATATTTTTTTAAAATTTATTTATTAGAGAGAGAGCGAGCACAAGTTGTGGGTGCACATGGTGGTGGGGAGTAGAGGGAGAGAAGCAGACTCTCCACTGAGTGTGGAGCTGGTTGCATGGCTTGATCTCACAACCCTGAGATCATGATGTGAGCCAAAACCAAGAGTTGGACGCTCAACTGACTGACCACTCAGACACCCCTCATCGTGTGTTAATATTTATTTATTCTCATAATATATGAAGTTCTGAAGTATTTTGCTAATGAAAAGTATCATTTGTAGCACGTACTATGAATATTAGATACCTAAAAGTGACTAAAACCTTAGATTTTAATGATTTATTCACTTTCTATCAATATATCTTTACATTTTACCCATCAAATTATATTCTCATTTACCTACGTATTTCCCTTAAATGCATTCTGGCTGAAATGGAAAATTTATTATATAAATAAACTTCCACAAGAAAATTACATAGTTTAATGTTTATGGAAATTAAACAGCCTTGTAATATTTTTTAAACGTTATCAGTGTGCACTTACAAACATTATTAATGTAGTATCAGCCAAGTATTAGGTAGAAAGCAGTAGATATTGCAAGTGGGCAGTTGGAACAATTGATACTGAACATTAATACCTTGATTTCTAATCATACTGAAACTACTCTATTAATTTCTTACTTAAAATTTAGTTGAGAGAAAGCATCATTTTTACGGTATGTCCTGTTTCTAAAATAGGAAAAAAAAACAAAAATCAAATTCTTCTTAACAAAGTGTCCTCTTGCCTTTTGATCTCAGGTGACATTCCCGGAATGTGTACGGTGGATGACAATCGAGTTTGACCCACAGTGTGGCACTGCACAGTCAGAAGATGTCCTTCGTTTGTTGATTCCTGTCAGAACTGTTCAGAATTCAGGATATGGACCAAAATTGACATCTGTTCATGAAAATCTTAATTCCTGGATAGAATTAAAGAAATTTTCAGGGTCCTCTGGGTGGCCTACTATGGTTTTAGTGTTGCCAGGTAAGTTATTTTTTCTCTTCTGTTCTATATGGTAAAATCTATGCATTTATAATAATTATGTTTAGTAAGGATACGTCATTAAAAATGTTTACAACTTTTAGAAGGATTTCTTCAAGACCTACTATGCATCCGATTGCACTTGAGTAGTGAAAAAGACTCTGTGGGGGGGCGGGGTACAGCATGACTAAGTTTTAGAAGAGAGAATATTGTGAGGATCTTGTGAAAAAAGATTAGCTTAACCAAAGCGAGTTAATATTGAGGGGTGGCTGTCTGCACAGTTGGGAGCAAACTATAGAAAAAGTGGATTTGATCTTTTATTTTCCCAATAAATGAAAGATTTTGAGAACTTACCAGGACTCTTTTCCATTCAAGAGAATTGGTCAACCCCCTAACCTAGTGAGTTATGTTAAAGCTATTGTTTTCAAGACTAACCATGAGAGACTGTGGACTCTGAGAAACAAACTGAGGGTTCTAGAGGGGAGGGGGGTGGGGGGACGGGTTAACCTGGTGATGGGTATTAAGGAGGGCACGTATTGAATGGAGCACTGGGTGTTATATGCAAACAATAAATCTTGGAACACTACATCAATCAATAAATAAATAAACCTAAAAAAAAAACTATTGTTTTCAGTTCTTCGGGTTTGAAGGGTGTGTGTGTGTGTGTGTCAGAGACAGGGACAGGCAACACTTTTGTTATTGCTATTACTGGTATTTTCCTTTCAAAGAAAGTTTGTTTGTAAGTTATTAAAACTGTATGTGGTCTGTTGTGTTTTTAACCAATTAACCATAAATATTCTTGTGATTCCTCAAATTCACAGCCTATTTGAATTCAGAAGCTTCTGTCTTCTAGTCTGATCTGCCTTGTTTGTTTGTGAGGGGCCAGGTTAGAGGATTGCTCATTCTGAAACAGAAAAGGCTAACTAACCTAGGTCGCCCTAGTAATTGACAGGTAATTGAAAAATGGTCATGTAACAGAAGGGTAGAACATTTGATATGGAGAGGTTGGTCATAAAGAAAAATAATAACAATTCACTTGGGATGGTTTTGTTGTTGGCTAGCGTTGTTTTTAGCAGTCTTACTCAAGTAGGTACAGGAACAACCCCAACCCCAAAAACAGACTGGGCTTTTTAGTATCTGATTTGTATTGCTACCTATCTTGAGATAGATAAAAGATAAGGAAATTTTAATAAAATTGTGTCAGATTTTGAACTCAATGTTAGCTTTTTTCCTTAGGAAATGAGGCCCTTTTTTCATTGGAAACTGCATCAGATTATGTGAAAGATGACAAAGCTTCTTTCTATGGTTTTAAATGTTTTGCAATTGGATACGAGTTTAGCCCTGGACCTGATGAGGTAAGAATGAATTACCTTCTTTCTATTAAGATTGTGTTTCTGAGGGCTGCTGTTAACTAAAGTTGTATTTTGCTACCTATATTCAGGAAGTCTGAAGTTTATTTTAAGTTAGGGTGTCTAATTTAGAATACCTTATAGTTTAATTTTGTGTGGTGGTTTTTTGGTTTTTGGTTTTTTTACTACTTTTAATACATGAAGAGAATGGAGTCTGTGCACCATGATGTAGCCTTTAAAGAAAGTGTAATTGTGCCTGCTTCAAATCTACTCAGGTGGCTATACCTTTCTGAGTAAATAATAGAACCTGACTTCGCAGTGGGACTAACTTAATATATCCTCTGAATGTTTCAAATCATACAGTAAAACAAAAGTTGAAGAAAATGATCATGCTACTTTAAAGTAGTGAATGACAAATTCTTTGGACAATGAGCCTGTAGGCCTGGACCTTATTAACATGCAGAAGACATATTATTGACCCTCTTCCTCTCTTAATTTAACCACGAGCTGACATGTTCTTCCTTCTGGTCTCAAAAGTTATGCTTGGGTGCAAATCACATTATGTTGATAATCCACCTTATCTTCCAAACACTTTATCCTCCAAACATTTTTTTTTTTTTTAAAGATTTTATTTATTTATTTGACAGAGAGAGAGAGAGAGAGCACAAGCAGGGGAGTGGCAGGCAGAGGCAGAGGGAGAAGCAGGCTCCCCGCAGAGCAGGGGGAGCCTGATGTGGGACTCGATCCCA